ATAACTCTTGCCATAATCGACGACGCTCACAGGCTTTTCCAACAGGAGTAGTAGTGGGGGTAGGCAGTGCCGAAAATACTGTTTATAAAGAGGTATTGAGATGAACAAAATATGTCAATATAAATATTGATGGGTTTTTAATTTTATTAACACCATAATGTATATAATAATGTTACAATAATAATAAGAAGTAAAAATAGTAATAATAAGAATAATACTAATAATAGTAATAACATTGATTATAGAATTTCTATAATCAATGATAATAATAATTATAATAATACGTAAAACATTTTTTTCAATTATAGAAAGTTATAATTTTTTGGGTATATTTTATTTCAACATTTTGTCAATTAGAATTGTATTTTACAATTTGTCTTCAAAATATTAAAATAAAGTAATTTTTTGCCGACTTCTGATTTTTACAATATATGAGCAACCTAGGATCAACATATCTAAAAGCAGCCCGTAATAAATATAAAAACTGATAAAATAAAAGTTATAGTAGGTTACACAAAAAACTGTACACGGGAGAAGCCGGTTATTCAGCTTGTATATTATTATATATACGTTTTAATCGTAGTATTATTATTATTGTTCAACTAATAAGGCACCCGACTACAACACAATTTAATGTTAATTTATTAATACTTAGAATAGTCATGAATTAATTTTCTGTTTCGTTTATTATATGTAAGTAGTTTTATCTATTCCAAATGTTTTCATTTATTTTTTTTATATGTATTTTACCGAAGTTGGGTTTTTTTTGTTAAATAATTTTTTTTATTTTTGTTATTATTTTTGTAGACCCCTTAAACGAGCCAATTCATTTAATGAATTTTCATCGTGAGGATGTTTCAATAACTTACAAGGGTTTAAGTTACTTATAGCCAAACCATCTAAGGATCTTACTCGACTTATTGCCATGTAAGCCTGTCCTTTGGCAGTTTATCACCGAGATCTATGACGGCACGATCTAAGGTTGTTCCTTGTAATTTATGAATTGTTACAGCCCAGCATAATAGTAGCGGCAACATCTTTCTCTCTATTTTGCCAAAGCCCCTAAGTCCATCGTATTCCGTATATATAATATTTATTTATATAAACTCGTATACGGTATATAAATGAACTGGGTTTCCCTAATGGTTTTTATTTGTCGCTGTATCATAGCACCGGTGACCACGATCGTTATCTGTTAATAACGGGCGGAGCAAGACGTACGGGTAACCGGCGACGACGATCGTTATCTATTAATAACGGGTACGGCCGCGGCAGTCATATAAAAAAGAATTCCACCTCTCATGAGTCATGACTATAAAACCGAGCTAAGAACACTCTCGTAAGCTCACAGATTATTTTACTTTTTGTTTCATCAAAATCGATTCATTAGTTTGGGCGCTAGGTGGGAACATACATACATTACACCTAAACACATTACCCTACTTCTTCCGCAGTCGGGTAAAAAAACAAAATTAACAAATTAACTTAAGATATATGTTTAGCCACGAGGCTCCTACAATTCAGTGGTCGGCCTCGATGACTACACCACCGAAAGAATAAATATGATTAATCGTGGAGAATTGCCTAATGAGAGGTGACCACACAAAATATAAACATCCGAGCCGTACTTAACGTATTTAAGACAAAATATAATATTACAACACGTGAATTAAATTATCACCGACGACGAAGTGTTTACACAACAATAATTGATATTAGGATAAATGATGTTACAATTACAATCACTATCGTCGTGATGATAATATAATAATAATAATAATAATAATAATAATACTCGAACAAACACGATATAAAAAAAATCGTGGTACAATTTGCATAATAATATGATATATGTATAAAAAGATAACAGTATTTACGTGACTCCCGTTCCAATACAGATATTGCCGTTGGCAGGTGATCAATTGACGGCGACAGTCAGGCCACTGGTCGGCTGTTTCTTCTTCCTGTGCGCGACGGCACAACAACGGGCAACCAAAACAATGATAATAAATTGATAGCAAATGGCACTTACAATTTACACATGCCGGCCGATCGTTACACAACGGAAATCGCGATATAATATTATATTAATTCAGCGATGATCGGGACGACAATGCATCAGTACAAAACGAAGACCGCAAGACACAATGTATATATATTATATATATTTAGGTTTAACGGAGTGCGGAGACCGCGACAACGATATATATATATATGGCTCGGAACGCGAGACGGTTAAACGTTTTAAGTTACAAGCAAAAATGCAACACACAAAAAAAACCGAACTAGTAGGAGAAGGACGAGTCTAAAGCTAGCGCACACTTAGACAATTTACAAAATTCACAAGACGATCCGAGTCTGAGGCGGCAACGTGACGACAGCTTGTTACCTCAAAAGCGTCGCACGGAGGAGTGTCTTTTCTTCATGTCGGTGGCTCCGACATCACCAAAAATATGCTATCCGAAATTAGTGGCCATTGACAGTATATCACGTGAGGTAGGGCAATATCTTGTACATAATCTTTACGGATTTTATATTTCCGTAAAGATATTTGATTATGAGTGCCGTTGACCTACTAATCCGACATTACTATCGGGCAATCGATCTCAAAATAATATACGTATCATAAGGGCTATCGACTTCAGAGGAGAGGAGTCGCGATTAGGGCCATAAAATCTATTTTGAATTTATCGCACCCGATAACTTGCGCGAACAATGTAAATATAGTTGACAAGCTGAATAACCCGGCTTCGCCCGTGTACAGTTTTTTTTGTGTAACATACTATAACTTTTATTTTATCAGTTTTTATATTTATTACGGGCTGCTTTTAGATATGTTGTCATGTTGATCCTAGGCAGAGGCGGAACTAAGATTTTTTACACCCGGGGAAAATATTAAAATTACGCCCAATCATAGACCAGGACTAAAATATCTTTCCCTACGATTGTTTTCTAATAACTGGAATTCAAATTACAAACGTACTACATTCTTATTGACTTTTAAACACATATTAATGTTAACTAACACAGTTAAAAATATCGAGCTAGTTCTTACTCATAGAATCATGTTATTGCTTGTGTTACAATAATTAAACTAAATAAAAGTTATTCTGATTTTTACATTGCTATTTGCTAACTATTAAATTTATTAATAATAAACTTGTTTAATTCAATGAAAGAACCTTTTAATTTAAAAAATTGTTCATTCAAATAATTCTTACAAAAAAAAAAAAAAAAAATTAATGCTGTTAAAAAAAGATGTATGATTAATATATAAAAAATGAATTTATTATTGTCCATAGAATAGATTTTATAAGAAAAAAATATGTTGAAAATAATCAAATTTTAATTATTGACTGTTTTGTATAAAAATGCTTTTGTTGTTTTAGTTCTATACGCCTCAATTATAATAGACCTTTTGGTGAAATATAAAATCTCTTATTTTGATAAAGGTACACAATTAAGACCAATAAAAAATTAAATTAAATTAAACAATTTATAAAAGTAAAAATAAAAACAAAACATTGAAAACCAAATATTTTTTTTTAAAACATAAACAAATGTATAAACATCTTGGTAAATATTATAATGCATAATATTATACAATATTAACTTAATTTTTAATATACCTACAGATATACGTAATGTATCGTACGTTGTAGGCATAAGTAATTTTAATGTAAACACAGCATAAAATATCAATACATGCACCTAGTTTAACTCAGAATCTTAATAATTATAGAACCTATATACCAGTACATGTATACTTATACGAATTTATTCATAATCTTACCGTTAAATAGATGTCTAAATCTCTAGAGTCTAGATCGATGATCAAAATGACGAATCTGGATTATTAATATAATATTACAATATTAAAAAATATGCACAAAAACGACAACACAGTAAAATTACATAGGTACAAAATATAAATGAAAAATGACAGAATAATGCATTTATCACTGGAAATTAATTTTGTGTTATTTTTGTCAATGTCGTCGTTGTTCGTCGACGATAGTCGATAACGATCATACTTATTGTTTAAAATATATGTTTATATTTAATTTTTATTATTTGTCCGTCTCTATATGTAATATGTGCCGTCGATGTACGCCGATTGCGCAGCTATACGTGCTTCAATAAATAATAATTAATAATAGAATGATGATTATTTTACGCTGTGTATGATTTTATTTAATATTTTTTAGTGATGGGCACAACCGACTAGTTTTGACTATCGATAGTTTGAATAACTACCAAGTGATTTATCTATCGAATAGATATTATTATTCGTCGATTGTTATTAAAACCATCGAATGAATTACTCGATGGTTTTCATTCGTTAGTGGAAACCGACTAATTTTGACTACCGGTATTTTTAAACTATCGATAGTTTGAAAAACTACCGAGTGTTTTTTTTGATCGAATAGATATTTTAAATATTATTAAGCATTGTATATTTTGTATAGAATCGTATTATGACTTATGAGAAGAAAATTGAGGGTTAGTATATTTTAGGTAACTTTGTGATTGGTAAAATATGAGGATTTAATAATATTAACTGTTAATACACTTTCGCTATGTGTGATTTGTAATAGAAGGACAGTGGATAATATACTTAAACACTATAAAAGTATAAATTTTATCCAAACCAACTGGCTAGAGCTTTAACTAAAGAAAGGAAACAAAATATTTATTTTTTAAAATTTTTATTAATATGTAATCAAAATTTCATAGGATTCAAATATGCTACAACAATTAAAAATATCCGTCCAAGGACTAGGAGTCAGGATTAGGTATATTGCCACATTGGTACAAGTTGAAATGTATTATGCAGCAAGCAGGTTGTCATTGTCCATCCTATGTTTCATACTTACCTTATCTCAGCTATAAATATATATATGTATTAAATATCTAAAAATTGCAAATTTATGAGCCAAGATAATTACTTAAAACCTTGTTCCAGACATATTTTTAAAATAAATATTAAAACCAAGGACCTAATCTCTTATATGACCTTCCAGAGGTAAAATGTGTTGAATCTTCAAACCAGTTGAATATTGTTTCTGCAAAATAAATAAATAAATAAATGTCTATTTCAAACTATAACAAAATTAAATAAAATATATTTCTTCATTTTTAAATTATAAATCATATTCCTTTTTACCTTTTCAAATACTTTGTCACTAATTTCATATCACAATTTGTTGTATTAAAGATTAAACTTACATATTTTTGTTTAAAAATATTAATGAATCTAAATTTTTAGGCAATAACCTATTGCGCCGAGCGCTTAGTATTTGCCCTGCTTTTGAAAAAACCGAGGTTGCTGGAACAATGGAATACTTAAGCGCAATGTCACTCAGTGGAGCTAATACAACCTTGTGTTCATTCCAAAACTTAGCCACATTGCTCTTAAAATCTTGATGAGGCATACTTATGTACTGCCTCATTAAGGATGTAGCACTACTTGTTTTCGTTGTTTGTGATTGAACATTTGTCACTCTAGATTGCAAAAAACTCCACACATTATCGACTTCTTCATTTCCATCAACTTCTTGTGTAGCTTGTTCTGTAAATAAGTAGGTATAATATGATTACTTAGTATAAGTATTAAAAAATTTTAAAATTTAAAATTGCATTTTTTCTAAAAAAAGATTTAATCAAATTACATTTTAGACTTATAATATTTTTATTGAAATGTATTAAAGATGGAACACATTTGGTATATATTTTCATTTTATAAGCTATTTATTTTTCCATAAAGTTATACTAAAATAATATAAAATAATAATACTATCTAATTAGTAATTTTACCTTAAAGATTTTATAACAAATAATTTTAATTTAATATTTACCAGTGTTTGATACATTTTTAATCAAAGCAGCCGTTTCAGTAATCAAAACTGCCTCTGTATCGTTAGCATTCTGCTCCAATCCAAAGGCAACTTTCTGAAATCTTGGGTCTAACAATGTGGCTCTAGAAAAATGCGGTGTCAATCCTTGTTTTTCTATACTCTCAAAACGCTTAGCAGTTTTGTCTATCAGTCTCTGTTTTATAAAACTTCCCAGTAGCGTTGATGGATTTTTTGAACCTAATGACATTTGCAAACCTATAAATAATAAATAATAAATAATATTTAATATAAAATATAAATATTAAATTATACACAGAAAAATCAATTAATTAGTAATTACCTCGTATTAATGGAATAACTGTTGAGATAGTGGGATATTGTTCAGCAGAGAGCTCAACAGTTACTTTATCAAATGGCCTTAATAATGGTACAACATCATCAATTATACTCCATTCATCGGAACTTAGATGACATGGAGCATCTTTTAATGTTATCATAACAATAGTTAGAGGTTCTTTTAGTTTTATAAGTCTTTCCAACATGAAAAATGTGTTATTCCACCAAGTACGTATATCTTGGTTTAATTTTAGCACTGTTTCAAAACCAAGCTGCTGTTGTTTATTCATCAACATTCTGTTAGCAACTTCGCTTCTCTTAAAAAATCCAACAATGGCTCGACACTTCTTTAGTAGATTTTTTAAATCATTTTCATTTGCATTAGTACTTGGTCTAGTCTCTTCATTGTCAGACAACAGTAGAGACTGTTGAACAATTAAATTGAGTTTATGTGCAGTACAAGGCACATGACTTAAATTCATAAGCCTAACTGCAGCTTTAATATTCGGTCCGCCATCGGTTACCACAGCAAAAACTTTATTTAAAACATTCCATTTGTTCAATTCCTCTGTCATAAGGTCACAAATATTAACAGCAGTATGGCTGCATTCCAATTTTTTGGTGCATAGAACCAAAGCTTTTAACTGTGTTTGGATGAGAAAATGAACAGTCATAGTTATATACGAGTCGGTGTTTATTGACGTCCAAATATCAGTAGTGATCGCTACGTCTCTAGCATTATTAAGCATAGTTTCAACTTTATGTTGAACAGCCAAATACATTTTTGGAATTATTGTTCTTCCAAGTGTTTGTCTACTAGGAATTTCATATCTGAAATAAGTAAACAATAATTAAAAATAATAGGAAAATTGAAGTTTTTTTTATTATTTAATTATTATTTGGAGTCCAAGAGCTGGATCATATTGCGAAATCCTGAGTTTTCAACAATAGACAGTGGTTGTAGGTCTTCGGCTATCATTTTCACAATAGCTTCAATGCTTCATGGAATGCTGTCACTTGGCTTTCTGATGGTGTACCAAATCTTAAAAGAAATATAAATTGTGATATAGGCATCTATTGAGATAAAATGCTAGACTTAAGAATTCAAAAATTATGAACTCTGTACTACTATACTCGGACTCATCATATAAGAGTAACCTCAAGCGATAGGCTTGAGCACACTGCCAGGGGCATGGCTAAAACAAAGCAGGCATACAGGCAGTCGACAAAGTAGGTTGACAGACTGCTGCTCGACAAAAACTGGTCGCTGCCTGAAGTTACTTTTATATGAGAGTATGAGACAGAGTATAAAGATAAACCTTGAAAATGCTTAGTACATAAATACATGCTATCAATGAAATTAAAAATTTAAACATTATATGAAAAACTACTACAACAATTAAATGTAATAACTTGCAATAATATTAATTACAAACTTAAAATGTTAACCATTGAAAAAGGTTTATGAAAAAACTAAGATAGTAGTACTGTAGGCAACTAAAAGGAAAACATAATCTGCCTCTTTTTATATTTTATTTAACAAAAAAAACTATGTTGCATACGTCTACACATATCGCAGTGTGGCGGAGAACTGACTACGGCCGACGGGCGACGACAGTAAAACATATAATAATAATTATTGACAAATATATATAAATAGCAAAATATTACCCGTCGTCGGGTCGCCTCACACACACACGCCGTACACAATATAAAATTATATAATATAAAAGTGGATGTGGGGTCGCTCGGTCGTCAATGCGATAAGCCCGCGACGATTACCGACTAGCGTCCCACAGCCATGTATAGAAAATAATTAAATAATTAAATAATATAAATCATACAGTACATAGTAATAGTAATAATAAAGTTACTTCCTTTTATTTTGAAATACTTAGTGCTTATGATGCCGATAAGCCATACTCTAAGATTTTTGGTTTTTATAATAGTTTGGTACTTAATAGCAAACAAAAGAGAGTTTTCTCTTAACAAATAATTGCACTCCAAACCAGTTGGATAATAATCAAACCTGTAAACTAAAAAATTTAATTTAAGAATTGTAAATAATTGCCAAATAGTAAATACATAATATCCAATTGCTATAATTTGTACTACTCAGTACTCACTACTGACTGCTGGATAAGCCACATACATATAAAATATATCGTAATATATAATAGGTACAAGTATATAAATTATAAATATAAATAAATGCCAACATATACAATTAAATTAAATTGTAAAACATATACTGAAATCTAGTTTGTTTTAATAGTATAAAATTAACATATATACAAATTAATAGTGTTATTAACATGACATTCTGAAAATTTATTATTAGAAATTAATATTATAGTTTATAATCTTACCTGTCAGACAAAAATAATTGTTTGTGTTTTTTGCCACTTTCAACATAATTATTGGTCACAGTTACTGAACTACTATAAGGCGGAACACTTGCAGATTGTGAATGTTCCCCTGATATTCCTATTTAAAAAATAAAAATAAAAATTACAATATTATTTTAGTTAACTTGTTGCGTCCCTTATGTCAACGTCGATTCATATATCAACGTAGAAATAGAAATACTAATGTTTGCAAGTTAAAAGATTAAGTCTTTATTTAATACAATGAACTCGTACAAGAATACAATAATTATATAAGCACAAGATGGAATGAGTGGTGTTACGACCTGCCTCTGAAATACTGATAGACGAGACCGTGAGTGGTGTTACAACCTGCCTCTGAGCGTCTCGAATATCCCTAACCGTCTGCTGAGCTCTGGCCCCGGTCTCCCTTATATATGGTTAACCGTCAAGAGTGGTAACTGGGGAGGTGGCGACTTCCGATGACCTAAAGGAGCTCTCTAAATTAAATGTATTATTCAGTTGGGTGCCTTTCCTGCGATTTCATCGATTCTAAGAAATCCAAGACGTGTGATCAAGTCTTAATTGTTATATTAAATAGTTCAATGTTAACACTATCGTTTACTCATCTATTCTGAGAAGTCCAGGACGTGTGATCAAGTCTTAATTATTATATTAAATAACACGATGTGCAAGTGTTCGCCCTATCCGTTGGTGCTACACGGTTTGAATATATTATCCCATCGGTATACGCGTCACCTCTCCGTATAATATATGTGTTAAAATAACACGGTACGTAACAAACTAATGAGATTTTGAAGTAAATACTAAATTATTAATTACTAATTCCACTAGAATCTTTTACTTTCAGGATGTTTTAAAATCTAAATAGGTATCACTTACCAGGTCGATTTGAATCATCTTCGATCTGTTGTTGCAAATTACAGCGGTTTAACACAGTAAAATGTTTTCTTTTTAAATGGTCCAACAGATTAGTAGTTCCATTTGATCGTTTATAGGATTTTTTACAGTGCTTACAAATGGCCTCATCTGAGGTATTTGGGTCTCTAATAAAATGCTTCCAAGCGATTGAACTATTCGACTTTGGGATCGACATTTCAAAGATAACTTGACAAAAATAAAAAACTAAAAAACAAACCACGATAGTCGAATGACTCGAATCTCAAATGACAAATTGATGAGTATATCGAAATTAATCAAATCAAAATTATCATAATTATTGATAATATTTGGTAATTGATAAGCGCTGTTTTCAATCAATAGTTCAACATATTTTTTATTTTTTTTAGTTCGATTAGTTTTCAATATTTCGATAGTTAGATAGTTTTTCGATAGTCGATTGTTATTGGTCGTGCATTTTTAAACCAATAATATTCGATAGTTTTATAAAACAATCGAATAATTAGATAGTTAAAACTATCGAGTAGTTCGATAGTATTTACTCGGTTGTGCCTATCACTAAATTATTTTTCATTCTTTTAAATATGGCTATTATTATATCATAAACAAATTATGAGAAATAAAAATAGTTTTATAACTTCTAACAATAAACATTAAATAAAGGCCCACAAAAAATTACGCCCACCAAACATTTTACGTCTGGGGATCAATCCCCGGATTCCCCCCCACCCTTAGTTCCTCCACTGATCCTAGGTTGCTCATATATTGTAAAAATCAGAAGTCGGCAAAAAATTATTTTATTTTTATATTTCGAAAATAAATTATATGATACAATTCTAATCGATGAAATGTTGAAATAAAGTATAGGAACCCAAAAAATTATAACTCTGTAGTTGAAAAATATAAACATTAACATAAAAACAAAAACTGAGTTGCATAATATACGAAAACGAGTTATTTTTCAAAAATGATAAGTAAAACACCTTGTGTATGCGTAAACGCTAAAGGCGTTTCACGACTTCACAGCATGCCCCGAATACTACAATAAAAAGTAAAACACTTCACTAATAAGTGTACCTACGTGTTTATTTACTATAGTATAAATTTGAAAGTAAGTATACGTGAAACAGTTCGCCAGTCGTGAATTCGTCATACAAATGAAATAAAAACGCTACACGTGTATGGTGCAAGCGTACGACAGCATGCCTACCTCCACTACTACTGTAGGAAAAACCTGTGCGCGTTGTCGATTATGGAAAAATATAACAGAATCATTATTGACACATGCTACTGTGTTATTTTAAAATCGAAATTAATAATATAATGTGTTATCCATAAAGTTTTGAGTATCCGAGACTTATCTATATATCGGTTCGTCGTTCGGTTTATTTTTGGTTCGGTATTAAACAGGTCGGTGGCGCGGCGGTGGTGACACGGAAGGAGAAATTTGGGCGGCCACGTCTAACCACCGCGCGTCGACAGCTGCCGTACCGCAAACCTCACTCACCGATAATTAAAAATTAACTATTTTATGCTCTTTTTACCCTTTAAAATGCGAATTTCGAAAAATCCTTTCTTAATGCGCCTATACATAGTAATAAGTACATTTACTGAAAATTTCATATCCATAGATTCAGCAGTTCCGGCTAAGCGATGATGAAGTCTTTTTATATAAATAATCATTTATTTTATTTAAATAATAAATTTTTTTACCGATATTACAAGTAAAATTCCTTAGAAAAGAAATGACTGTTATTGTTATTATCGTACAATAGAAATCCATGATAATGAAATCATTGTATACACATAAAGCTAATATGACTTATTCCCTTGTCCTTGTAAATGTTAAACTGGCATTGCAGACGCCAACACTGAACATAGGATACTATAAAACGAGAACCCTTTAACAATACGTTCCTGGTATTGGAGACTCCGAATCGGGAGAACTCTTACATGTTTTTCAGTGTTTAAGAGGTATGATATGTTCAATAAACCCTGTAATTAACTAGCAGTTAATGTCAATCTGTATAATTTATGACAAATATAATATAAGTCAATGAAATGAATAACAAATACCAAAACTATGATAAACAAAAAAGGAATTATATTTTCATTAACCAAAAGTTAAGCCATCATTAAAAATATTCATTCAATAATTACAAAATGACCTCTACCATAACAAAATATAAACAAACATTATAAAAAGTAGAGTTATTTTAGATATTAATGCAAAGCTGAATAATTGCTTCAATAATAATATTTAATGATTAAAATTGTAATGAAATGAAGTAGATTATTAAAAAATATAAGCATTCAATTATATGTAAACTGGATTGTTGATACTAGAAACAAAAAAAATAACAAATCAACTTAGGATGTAAATATAGTTGATAATCATATATTTAATTTAAATAATTTATAGTTATTATCGTACAATAGAAATCCATGATAATGAAATCAATGTATATAGCTAATATGACTTATACCCTTGTCCTTGTGAACGTTAAACCACCAGCTCCGCCGCCACCACCGGATATATACCCTATTCAAAATAACCTTGTCCACTCGACCGACGAAAACTCGTCTGGTTCGCGCATGTCTATTGCCACGGTGGGCGCTGATGTTTGGCGTGCTGCCGCCGCCAAGGTGTATACGAAGTGAATAATAATATCGCACGTGTTCCCTGTTCACGATTTTACGGTACCACAAGTGGTGCAGACGTTCATTCCGCCCGTAACACATCCAAACACAGCGCACGCTCCGTAATTTATAATTTTTTTTTACCTATTATTTTGTGAAATATTCATTAAACATGGCAAGCAGTTCTATTGATGAAGATGCTCAATATGTCCCATCACCAGTTAAAAAACATAAAATGGGAAAAGTGAGTATTATATACAAATAATTTATATATAAATAAGTTATAACTTTTTTTTTTTAAATATCAAAAGTATTTAAATAAAATAGTATTTGATCTCAATTATAAAATATACATCTACCAAGACAGTATTTTTATTAAAACGTATTTTTAAATATTTTTTTTTTTAGCCTATAAATGAGGAAGTAAGAATCCGGATTGTAAATATGTATAAAACTATAGTAATGAACGATACTTGCACCTCCGTGAGACAAATTCGAAAACAAATATCGGAAACATTGGGTGTTGGCGAACGTTCAATCCAGACAATAATTAGAACGTACAAGGAGACAAATACAGTAGCTGCTCCAAAACAGACACGTAACAAAAAATCTTTTCGTGATCTTTTTGATGAATTTGATAAAAGCGCAGTACGCAGGCACGTGCATAGCATTTGGTTTCGTCGTGAAATTCCAACGGTCGATAAAATCCACCAAGCCGTATCAGCCGACAAAAGTTTGCCAGCAATATCGCGTACCAATTTATTTCATCTTTTGAAAGATTTAGATTTCCGGTACAGTAAACGCAGTAAGAACAGTGCTATGACTGAAAAAAATGAAATTGTTGTGTGGCGTAGAATGTATTTGGAATACCTTAAAAAATATCGAGAAGAAGGTCGACATATTTATTTCCTCGACGAAACATGGGTGAATGCTGGCGATTGTACATCGAAAACGTGGGTTGACATAACAGTACAATCTCACCGGGACGCATTCCAAAAAGGTCTATCGACAGGTGCTGTTAATCCCTCGGGTAAGGGCAAACGTCTCATTGTACTCCATATCGGCTCAGAAGATGGGTTTCTACCCGGAGGTTTATTGTGTTTCGAATCCAAAAAAAACACAAATGATTACCATGATGAAATGAACGGGGACATATTTCGTGAGTGGATGGAGGGCATTCTACCTCTACTACAACCGAATTCCGTAATCGTTATGGACAATGCATTCTACCATTCAGTCAAAATCGACAAAGCCCCAACATCCAATACCCGAAAGGCGGATATTATCAAGTGGTTGGAAGATAAAGGAGAAGTGATAAATCACTCAATGATCATCCCTCAACTTCTACTCTTTGTCAAATGTTTGAAGCCACTACATAATAAGTATGTTATTGACGAAATTGCAAAAGTCAATAATCATACAATATTACGACTCCCGCCATATCACTGTGAGCTAAACCCCATTGAGCTGGCTTGGTCATCAGTGAAAAACTATGTCCGTATGAATAATACCACTTACAAGCTTCCAGATGTAAAACAATTATTATTAGAGGGCATAAAACAAGTTGATGCAGAAATGTGGAAAAGTTTTATAAGCCACACCAAAAAGGAAGAAACAAAATTTTATGAAGTCGACAATATCATAGATGAGGTCTTGTCCGCGAAGAAATCAGATAATTTGTTGATGACTATCACCAGAAATACATCATCTGAAATGGATTCAGATAGTGAATAAATTTTTGTAAATATGACCTTAATTTTTGTAAATAACTGTACAATTGTATAAGTAATTTTTGTAAATGTGACTTTAATTTTTGTAAATAACTGTATAAATGTATAAGTAATTTTTGTAAATATGACTTTAATTTTTGTAAATAACTGTATAAATGTATAAGTAATTTTTGTAAATATGACCTTAATTTTTGTAAATAACTGTTTAAAAATAATAACTTTTTAATATTTTAAATATTAATTTTTTTAAATATGAAATTTGTATTTATTTTTTAGCTTTAATTCCCTACTAAAATTACATGTATTGATACCTATTTAGCTTTAATAGTATTTGTATACAATGTAGGCATTGTGTATAACAATAAGGTAAAAGTATAAGAAATAGTAAAGAAAAAACTATTGGTTATAACATTATAGGTAATAATTATTATGATCATATGTATACACGGCTGTGGCTATCGATAGCGACGCGTAAATACCAATACTGTGAAAAACAAAAAAAGAATTATATTTTATTAACCAAACGTTAAGCCATCATTAAAAATATTAATTCAATAATTAAAAAATATCCTTTATTGTAATAAAATATAAACATACAATAACAAATTACAGTTATTCGAGATATTATTGCAAAGCTAAATCTTTCTTTTATAAAAAGATGAATGATGAAATTAGGCAGGAAATCAAGTCGATTATTATAAAATATAAGCATACAATTATATATAGACTGGATTGTTGATACTAGAAACAAAAAAATTAACAAATTAACTTAAGATGTAAATATAGTTGATAATCATTTATTTTATTTAAATAATCAATTATTTTA